TATTGGTATCAATAAATTTGCGTTTACTCAGTGATCGTCCTGGTAGCGTGAATATTTGGTATCGCTCGCAGTAAAGTTCGCCCGCAAAAAGCATCTTAGTCAGTGGTCGTGACGCCTGGGACGTGGGACTTTCGTCGATACRAATCTCGCCTGCACGCCCTCCTCGGTTGCCCCAAGGCTAAAACGCTTACAGTGGGTTTMCTGTGTTCTCATGGTCAGATGGCCTGGTACCCAGGCATTCAAAATGGCGGCAAGTAAACATTCTTGTAGCGGAAATTTTTGAACCTAAAAAAATATAAACAAGATGGCAATAATATTGAAAATCTATGCCCAAAAATTATCCTACACTCGCATAAAGACCAAAAGCACAAGAAAATGAATTTAAACTTGACTGTGATTGCTTCAACGTCAATAAAAAGGAAAAAACCATGGCCAAAAATTGCCTGGCTTGGAAAGGTAAGAATTTGTTTTCTAATCGAGAAAAACCGTTTAAAAAAATCGGGATTCCTTTTGCTTTTTGGTTATAGTTAAGGAATTGTCCTCTTAACCTTAGACCCTGGTTCTTTAAGAGCTCATTGTGTGACCTGTTGTTAAAATAATTTTTGGCTCGCGTGGCTTCACTTGGCTTAACTCGACGTGTGACTGTGCAATCAGGCGAATATGAACTTAAAGTTTTTTCAAAATTCGTAATTATCAACTAAAATAAGTTGTATATCGTAGAAAGTTTTACTTTATTTACTTTTAATTAATACTATGCAAGAGTACTGACGAGGAACTCAAACCTCAAAGTTTCATCTTTATTAAGCTTAATTATTATAATAACTGCATCATATAAATTTTCATTCTGATTTTCCTAACACTGCTTTCGTGTTTGGCAATACCTACAGCTGTACTGCCAAATCACTCATGCACATTTTCTATCTATTCTAGACGTGCTCCCCTCTTCCTCCACTCCCAACAGGCCTGTCACTAGGACCTTGAAAGGGGAGGATTCATCTTTCTACCAATCTTAGTTATGCCAAGAAATTTTCTTGAAAAACTAAAATAGCATTAACATTATTTCATACTCCTACAAAGGTGGAGAGAGGGGTTCGTTCGAACCATTGAACCACCCCTAGCGAGGGGCCAGCCCAATATACAATACAATACATATTGTATACATACATGTATTAAATAATAAATAAATGATGAAATAGATTGATAAGATTTAGAAGTGGCATTTCAACAGAGTGGCTCTTCATCCACTGAATTCCAGTTGGAATTTTGAAATTGATTTTTGTTGAAGGAGGAAAATTTGAAAACTTGGAGAAAAACCATTGAAGCACAAGAGTGAACCAACGGCCCTCCAATACTGTACTGTATGAGGGGATTGTATATATGTATATATAAAATGTATTTAGTACGAATAAATAATGGTACTAAAAATGGGAGGTACTAGATGTCTACCATAACCCCAGGCCTAACTGACATAGGTAGATGCTCGGTAGCTGAAATAATGGGGTATTGAATATATTCCATTATTTCCTCCTTCCTTTTCTTAGAAAAAAATATTATCCCCCCACTATGTCAAAGGTATATATTTATTTATTCCTGGTTATGTTTTAGGACCAGGGTGGGTTGTATTTACTGGACAAGCACAGAGTAAGTCAGCTTAACCTGCCGTCTGGAAATACACGCAAGAAAATCTCATCTGTACAACCATTCTTGATCGATGTACAAGCACTAAGCACTTCTTCAAATGGTAAGAAAGATGACACTGATAGAACTTTTTAGCCTCAGTGGTATAAAACGTTCTTCAATTTGAGATGGTGTGTTTAGTTTTTGGGGAGGGAAAAGTGTTTTTTTTGGGAGGGGGGG